ATAGATAGATAGATAGATAGATAGATAGATAGATAGATAGATAGATAGATAGATAGATAGATAGATAGATAGATAGATAGATAGATAGATGCCATTAATGATTAAAAAAAAAGAAACTAGCTGGTCTTCGACTTTCTCTCAAATGGATGAATTTTTATGAAGTTTGATGGATTTGTTTTTAAGGTCCCACCACAGGATTTCAGTCATGCTGAGGTCTGGACTTTAACTAGACCAGCACCTTGATTCGTTTCTTTTTCAGTCATTCTGTAGAATTTTTGCTGCAGTGCTTGGGATCATTTTCCTGTTTCATGAATCGGTTTAGGCAAGTTTTAGCTGTCAGAAAAATGGCCTCATATTTGATATGAGTTTAGTACACTTTGGTATACAGAGTACTTCTTGGTCAGTGTTTGTAGTGTTTGTGTTTGTCCTGATATCATGTGTTTGGTTTACTTCAAACATGTTGCTGTGCACTATGGACAAAGATCTACACTTGGGCTTCATCTGAAATTGTTCCAGAAGTCGTGTTGTTTGTTTAGATGTAGCTTTGAGAGCCTAAGCCTTGCTGCCATGTTTGTCTAAGAGAGAAGAGGCCTTCTCCTGTCAACTCTTCCAACCAAGCTATATGTGTTCAGTCTTCTTCTAATTGCTCTGTCGTGGACTTTACCATTTTAAATGGTAACCAGGGCCTGTAGACTCTGCAATTAAACTCTTGGGTTTTTTCCAGTTACTCTGAGCACTGGACAATCTGAGCTTTTTGGTGAATTTATTGGGATGTCCAATTTTTTGGAAAACTAGCAGCTGTCCTGGATAGAATGAGCCTTATAACTGTTCACAGATTGGTGGACAGCAACAGTTGCTTGGCATGGTGTTAACACACACCTGAATGACCCAGACCAGCAAACCACCACAACGTCTGCTTTTATGGAGGTGCTCACGCTTACTGATGATCAATCAGCTGCATTTGATTAGCAGCACAAGGCTGCTACTTGCCCTCTTAATTCCTATGGAAAAGTAAGGATGCACTTGGTTTTTCAGCACGTTGCAGAGTCCTGTGAAAACTACATCCACAGTAAGGAGACACTAGATCAGGGGTCCTCAATCCCAGTCCACGAGGGCCGGTGTCCCTGCAGGTTTTAGATCACACCTGAATCACATGATTAGTTCATTACCAGGCCTCTGGAGAACTTCAAGACATGTTGAGAAGTTAATTTATCCATTTAAATCAGCTGTGATGGATCAAGGACACATCTAAAACCTGCAGGGACACCGGCCCTCGTGAACTGGGATTGGGGACCCCTGCACTAGATGAACAAAACTGTCTGAGAATATTGAGAATATTTGGGTTTTGGCACATGTACTCAGTAGGATCTAATAAATAGATCATCGCAATGAAGTGCTACCCGCTGGAAACAAAGACCAAAGTATTTGGTTCGTCTGTGTGGGACTGATGAAGTGTTCATTATCACAAAAATGTCATTTCATCACATTGCATTCAGGTGGATGGGAGTTGGCACCAGCCTGCTGATATTTACAATCAGTGTTTCTGAATGAGGGAAGGGGGTGCATCCACTTGGAGAAAATTTGATTAAACAGGTGAGCACCAGTAATTGCCTTGGGTGAGGCCTTAGGGGAAATAATTTCACAACTAAAGGGAATTAGTGAAGAAGGAAGTGCCATGGAAGGACACAAAAGAGAAAGCAACAGAGGGTGGTTTATGTTCAGAGAGGCTGATAAGAAGATGGAAAAACAAACAATATTGCAGTTTAACAGCATGTTTACATGTTAATAACCTGCTAAATTTCTGTTTTTATCACCCATTTTAGTTCTCCAAAATGCCTTTACTCTGAAGGCAATAATAAAAATGAAAAAATCATCATAAAGTTAAAAATAGAAAGTGATTCTGAACAGCTGGGCAATGCGAAATGAGGTGCAGAGAGAAACATAAAAAGTTACATATCAATATTCAGTTTTGGGATTCGTAGCTTCTGTTTTGCTCAGACTGCACCCACCTTACATGTATAATCCATACACTGCCTAATTTATTTATTTCATTCATATAGCCTTAACCAGAGCCTTTAATTCATACTTCAGTGGGGAAACAAAGAGACCCTGCAGAGGCAGGATGACCAAAGTTCATTAGGCAAATAGCATGAGTCCAAACGGGGTAAACACAACAGGAGGAACAATGAGTAAAGTGTACACAGGGCACTTTGGGAGATAACGATTTAACAGACTGAAAAAACACTAAGGAGAGGAGCATAACAACACACAGGAGACACTAATGAGAGCAGGAAAATGAACACAGGAGGGAAGTACAAACACAGTGAGAAAGACTGAAGGAACAAAGACAAAAAATAGGAATTTAAAATTAGCCAGAAGGGCAGAAAAACAAGTCCCGTATGTGAGTGACTGCTGTCTGGGGTTGTTTTACGCTACGCCTTTAAGCACTTCTTTTACCAAAATACTCAGGTACTAATGAATGCATTGGGGGGCTATTTGGGGTTCAATATTTTGCCCAAGGCCTTTTTGTCATGCAAACTGGAAATCAAAGCACTGATGATTGAATTGGTACATAACCTGCTCTATGTCCCAGGCCACAGGCTCCCCCTGAGGTTCTGGCTTCTTCAGGAGTATCCTGAACTACCATCTGGCAGAGTTATGCGAGTCTGTAACAACATTACCCTGGCCGTGCATGTCAAAATCACATGAATGCCACGATCCACAGGGATGCTTGGCACTCATCAAGTGTTTCAGTGTTGCAGCTCATCAGTGTAGTTTCATTTGACACATTTTAACGCTCAGTTAATGAAAGTCAACTTCCGCCATAAACTTTAAACTAGCTCTGGTTCAGCTAACAGAAAATAATTACAACTCCACTTCATGAATTTCTATTTCTCATCACTGTAAAGACACCTTTGATTTCCTCTGTGCTGATTTTTACCTGATCTGTCTTCTGTACGGGAATAAGCCGCAGACACGCCTAAAGAGCTCTCCAATTAAGAAGAGCTTTAAGGTGAGTCTGAGCAGCTGACAGCTGCTGGGAGCACAGCGTCTGAGACAAGAAATATGCTGTAAAAACGTTTCATCACTGCTGTCTTTAAGGCATAGACCAAAGACAGTGAACACAAGGCATCCTTTAAATATTAGAATTTAACCAACATAAACAGTTTCAGTCAAATAAAAAAAAACTAGAAATTCTCATGAAATTATTCACAAATTACAGATGTAACCCACAACACTGCAGACACATTAGAGGGATCAAACGAGCAGCCAATAATCAGACTGAAATGAAATCTTAGCGTGTAAAGTTAATGAAGCTTTAGTGAGGCTCAATTTTTAAAAGCCATGTAAATGAACAGCCTGGGACTGCTGCAGTACTCGAATCTGACTCTCACCTGCGTGTAATGAGAGCTGTGTTTGGACCAGCTCCTGTCCCTCCACGGGGACAGAGAACATGCAGCTGTGGGGTCATTCCCATTTAACAAATGTCGCGGCGCAGCGACCTGAGCAGCACCTGTAATTAACCGAGCGTGTTTGGTGGCTGAGTGGCCTCAGCGGTGAGGCGGGGGGATGACAGCAAGTGTATGATGACGGCCATCTTCATTTAGGGACAGTGTTAGCATTATTAAGATGCTGTTAAGATCAAGGAAGTGGGACAGAGAATGAGGGAACGTGGTGGGAAAATAGAAGAGAGAAAGAGAGGATGGGGACAAAACACATAACAGCAGTTAAAAATAAAAAGATACACACAGATATACAAAACACTGGGAGTAAAAAGATGTGATGGCAGATGATATGCTCAGTGCATCATGGGAAGCGCTCCAGCAGCCTAAGCCTATAGCAGCATGAGTAAGGGATGTTTCCACAGCAGTGGTGCCTGATAGCTGAAGGCTCTGCCTCCCATTCGCAAACTCTAGAAGCACAAATAAACCTGCAGTCTAAGAGAAATGCTCTGTTAGGATAATATGGGATCTTTAAAATATGACAGAAACTGATTATCCAGGAGAAAGGTTTTAAATTCAATTCTAGGGACTTAACAGGATGCCAGTGAAGAGAAGCCAGTATGGGGGAAATGCGGTCGCTCATTCTACTCTCTGTTCAGGAGCTTTTAGTTACTCTGAGATGGGGTGTTTCTGATTTTGGCAATATTGCACGATTTTAAATGTATTTTTGATGGGAAGCATTTTTCATGTCTGTGGCTCTTCGGGGAGAACCCAGACATCCAAGTAAATTGGGTCTTTCAAAGAAGTGGTAGTAAAGGTGGTAATCCGTGCCAAGCAGCACGAATCAGAATATTAGAGATGACTATTTCGCAAACTGCTGTGAGATTGTGTTGAACTTGATAACCTGTTGGTGATAATCTCATGTTAACTCTACATGCTGCTGCAGATATTGGATACTGAGGAGCAAAGTCATGGTTTTCCTGTTATTCTCTTCCCATGTGTGCTGTACTCTCCTCTTTCTGTCTTTATCTGTCTTTGGGCTACTTTATGTTTTACGTCATCGGTTTGTTTTCTCGTGTGACTTCAAAATCAATGCCCAGCTCACATTAACTTTAATCTGTGATTGTATGCTTTCAGATTTGCATCACTGAACTGTGGTTTTAAGCTATATTTTACACAGCATCCTAACTTTTTATTATTTTGTCTTTTCCTTTGATCTCGTCGGATTATTTGTTTGCCTTTCATGTGCTTTCTTTACTTGTTTCCTGGTTTCTGTTTTTACCTTTTGTAGCTGTTTTCTTGGACTTTGGTTCATCATTTTATTTTATTCTAAATTCTGGACCACGTCTGTACCTTTGTGCAATCTCCTAACACAAACAGCTGTAAGTGGTTAAAATTTCTTCTGGAAACCTAAAATAATAATACTTAATTTTTAAAGCAGCTTTTTATGTTTTTGGCTTTAAGGAAAAAACATGCAAAGCTGTCTCTATTAAGAGAAGCAGAGACATGTGTGCAATTATGCATCTATGGAATAGCACAGACAATCTTTCCAGCACTCCCTGTTGTTTAATCAACATTTTATAATATACTGAAACAGAATGGAATAGATGCAAGTCGTAGTTACTGCTTAACCCTGATCCAAATATATAACAGGCGCATTGGTTAGTCAAGCACAAACCCCGACCTGCAGACCTATTATCAGCATTGAAGGAAATGATCTTTGGAGAAGCTTTGGAAAAGTGAAAAATCCCACCGGGCAACAGAACCTTTCTCTTGTGACTGTGATTACACACCTGAGAGAGTTTTTAAAAAACAGAGAATACAAAGGGATCGAGAAAGCCTGAAAAGAAAAAGGGATTTGATTTCCAGCAGTATGCCTGAACATGTGGATCCACTGGGACCCCGGGTTATCCGGCACTGTTCAAGAGGTGCAGTGAGAGCTACAGAGACAGAGATTTCCACTTGAATGAGGGAGAGAGCACCTCATCTAGCTGTAGGGGAGGCAGTGGGTAGCAGCTCACTGTGAGAGCAGGGATAAAAGTCCAAGCCAGAGGGGGGGTGCTGGGGGTGGAGTGAGACCGCACCGCAACAAATCAGGATTCAGATTTGGGGGGAAAAAACTGAGGACTGTAGTGGGTTAAGGTCGTAAACTAGGCTTCATGACTTAATTGGATAGAATAGCAAAATAGTAATGTAATAGTAATATAATGGTTCACTATCACACACACACTCCAAAGGATGTATGAGCAATTACAGGGTTCAGTTTCTTGTCCCAGACTGTGAGGAGCCAGGAATCAAACCACCAACCTTTGGATTAATAGGTAATCTGCTCTCCCCTGTGGCTCAGTAGCCATTGACTCATGAGTCATCTGAAACAGTGGAGGGGAGTTTCCACAGCAAGCTCCTCCTGTGTGTGTCTGGGTTTTGAATGCTAGTTACTTAGAATCTGATGGATTCATAAAACTTAAAGTTTAAAGCCCAGATTCAGGGTTCCTGCGTGGTCTGCAGGTTCTGCCCAGACTATTAAAAAAAAAGGTGCTGCTGTTGGTTCCTTCAGCTTCTCCTCTGCTGCAGAGTCCATGAGAGTCATATATCTGCTTAAAAAGGCAATATTTGCTAAGCAGATGATGAATTGCTTTTGAACGAAATGCCACAGGGAGTTTGCCACACTGAGGAGCCAGTGTGACCAGCTAACTTACCTATAAACACTTCTGCAGTAGACCCTCAAGAATAAAGTGCACAGTAAAAGTTTTACAGGTGGCATAGCTCCAGAATGCAAAACGTAACACAACAGCAGCAATTAGACTTTCAAAGCGATAAGTATTTTACTCTTTAGTAAATATGTTTAATATGAAGACGAATCAGTCAGGGGTGAACGGTTCTGAATGTAAGCAAAGAGTGTTTCGAAATCGTATGATGATTTACAAAATGTATCAGAAGAGAGAGATTTTCTGTAAAAATGACATGGGAGCTTGAACAAAATAGAGATTCTGACATATCTTTTTCAATATGTTACATCTAGTGGAGGTTTGTCAAACTTTGCACTGCCTATTTTTGCCCCAAATTTTGGTTGAGTGTCTTAAGACAGCCTTTTGCAGCTTTACTGAAATTTTGTTCATCAGTACAGGCTTAGAAGCTCGTGGAGGGATGGAACACGGTGGCCTTAATTGCAGCTTTGTAGCCATGTAATTTGTTGGTTTCATTTGCTAGTCAACCCATTATTTACTCTCTTTTAAATTGCAAGGGCACAGGAAGCTGTGTTTCATAATTACATGACGGAACCCATAACCACCCAGTGATGCCCGTAACAACAGTGCAATAATGAGAGAGTGCGGGGCTTACCAAGATCGAGATGAATGCTGGGAATGAAGGAGTTGAGAAAGAACATGAAGATCACAACGCCAAGGACGGACACACACTTCACCAGCAGAACTTTGTCAGTAATTCTGTGCTGCGTAGGAGGAAAATGTATTTTTTGTGAATGGTGGAAAAGCTGATGTTATCAGAAGAATGACAGGATTTGTCTTAAGCGAACTTTCAAAGACTAGACCTACTTCATTACTGAGATTACATCAATGCACCAGTCACAGTGATTGAGGAAAATGTGTGAGGTGAAGAATCAAAGCCTACCTTCTTCTGCAGTTCTTGGATGTTTTGCTCCCAGTTCTTATCTTCCTGAGAAATTTGTCTGTCAGACACAACAACATTTAAATCTCACATTAGGCAAATGCACAGTGTCAAAAAACAAACAAACAAAAAATGGAAAAAGTATCATCTCATAGAAACAGAGTGCTTATTTTTAGCAGTTTATAACCATATGCTGAGCGTTGTGTAGTGTGAAGGATTTATTTCTGCATTTCCTGCCCTTCAAAATTTGTATTTATTTTCTGTAATTGCTATGATGGTCCGGAAAGCAGGCACAGAAAAATAGGAACAGGAAAAAAACAAACTATTTCTGGACTGAACTGAAAATGTCATGCTTGGTGCCATGCTTGTGTTTTAAATAATTAGAGGGGACCTATTATGCTCTTCTCCAGCTCCATATTTCTAATGTTGGGCTGCTAGAGTTTACAGCTTTGTGTGATTCAGAATTAGGAATAATCCTCATTTGTTTGAGCTTGGATTTGGAGCAGCACCTAGCTCATCCAGTGTCTGAAAACGATATTTAAGCTCCTCCTTCCTTTAGCTAACTTTCTTCCAATATATTGATATTGCACAGATCCAGGAGCAGTCTGAAGTCTGAGCTTACAAACCACCAACCTTTGGATTAGTCTGAGGTCTAACATACATGCACTGATGTTAGGGAGACACACTTCTAGATTTATACTTAATTTCAACGGTAAAAACAAATGCCGTATTTTTCGGACCATAAGGTGCACCGGATTATAAGGCACATTAAGCAAAACAAAACAGTCAGATAAGTCAAACTTTACTCAACTCATTATGCTAACATAGCTGTGTTGCTAGCGATCACGTAGCACATCATTATATACCAGCTAGCCCAACTTCAGTAACGCTACAAACGTCATTGCTGTTTAGTTTTCTGTCTTCATTCATGTTGGAAGTGATAGCAGAGCTGTACGTTTTAATTTTTTCAGAAATCTCTCAGTCAGAACATGCAATATCATATTTAGGTGGAAACTAGCGTGCTAACTTCCTGCTAACTTCTAACTCAGTTAAATTTAATAAATTCTGTTTTCATGGATGCCTGGATGTTAAACTTAATTGTTACACCTGGCAAAGTAGCAACGCTGATTAAAGATGAAAGAATTTAGACAGTTTTTAACTCTCAGTGATGCCGTAGTGTTCGTTTGACTTGGGGCCTGAAGCGGATGGAGTTTGGACTCAGATTACTCCGCGAGGCTCCTGAGTACAGTAGCCATAACGCTCCGACAATCCATCAAGCGGTGTGGCTTCATAGCTTACCAAAGTCAGACTAAAACATTTTTGACAGATTTCTGAGCGGCGTGTACTACATAAAATCCATTTGAGGTAAGTAAGCACAACCAGAATTCATACATAAGGTGCACCGGATTATAAAGCCCACTGTCAATTTTTGAGAAAATTTAAGGATTTTAAGTGCGCCTTATAGTGCAGAAAATACTGTAACAGTGGAAGTGGAATGTGCAGTTACAGTGTTACTATTGCATGCAAGAGTTTTATATGATTGCTACTTTGTAACCGACCACACACCGCGGTGCTATCGTGGCTATGTCACATTTCTAGCCTTTAATGAGCCTTTTCCTTTTTCCTTTTTTACTACAGTGGCCCCTTGTGGTCAAAGTCAGTCTTATTCATCCGTTTTCTTGGTGGTCTCGATGTGTACACCAGCCAGGTTGCGTCAGTGACGTGTGTCATCATCCCAGGTCTTTTGTTTAGTTTTTATTGAGTTCTATCGAGTTCTTCTTGTGTTCTGTCACCTGTTATTATACAGTGGAACCCCAACTTACGAAATTAATTTGTTCACAACGTATTTGCAGTGTGTGTTTTCAGTAATCACACCAGCCATGAATTCTCTTGTTAAATCATGTATTATTGATTAGTACTGATAACTGCATCTAGTGAAAAGATGTGTACGAAGCAATATACAGCAGGTTGGCTTTTGAAAAACGACATTAACAGTACAGACAATGTGATTCTTAATGTTCTGTGTTCTTGTGCTTTCTTTAACCTTTGGAAGGTCTTCATCATGTTTCGCAGCAGACTCTCCAGGTTGAGGACTTTTTGCATTAAAAGACATTTCACAGCTGTCTCCTCTCGGCTGGCGGGGTTTATGCGCTGAGCCGTTTGCCTCCAAACCAGGATCTCATGCTTGAGTTCTGCAGGGCAAAGAGAGAACGGCACCTGTTCAGTGCATGTACGACACACAGACTTCAAAGTTACAGTGATGAAGCTCAGCAGCAAAATGCAGTACGCTTATAACGGATATTTGTCTGGTAATATCTTCTACAGCTGAGAGAACATGGTGATGTTTTCAGTCAATATGCCCAATATGTGAGCCCCCACAGAGGGCCTAATGCAGCCTGGCGATGGGTGCATTGACCAACCCAGGAACCGCCAGTGATACAACCTGAGGATATGGGACCCTTATGTAGATATCAGTAGGTGCCATCCTTTTTCAGGAAGGTTGCTAGGTGACCATAATAGGATCTAAGCAGTGCAGGGAGAAAGAGGGAAAAAAAACATTTCCTGTTAGCAAATCTGCACAATTACCAGCCGTGGTAGGGGGTTTGAGCTGATCCAGCCACATGCACTCTTAGCAAGACCAGGCTGGCAGGAGAAGAAGAAGAAACTCCACGGGGTCAGATTTAGGCCAGCATCGAACGGTCACCGTGGTGATGGGTAAAAGCTTGCTTTAGTTTGCCCGCTGCTCAGTGTGACAGAACAGCTCCGAACAGTCGGTGTTGCTCACAGCTTAAATGTGAGGATTGTGGTGACCACTGAGCAGCCTCATGGTCTCTGCTTCAATCATCCCATGCTGGGGTCATCTCAGAGGGGGGAAGTCTGATAGTGTGGGTAAACAATGATAGGAGGTGACTGTGTTTCCGGAAGAATTCTTAACAGTTTCAAACAAATATCTTTTTTTCTTTTATTGTTGTTGTTGTGTTTTGTTTTGTATGCTTATTATCTATCTCCCCAGTCTTACAAGCCAGATCTACAGTAAGACAGAATGATGGAGGACAGTCATGCTCCAAACCAGCATAGTCTGTGATCCTTTCTCTCTCTCTGAACATTGTTCCAAGTCTTCAGGGATGGCCAAATCATTTTCTTTCCTGTTGCTGGATAATTAAGAAGATACATAAAAGGGCTGCGGTACACCAGATTAGATGAATAGTTTTTTAATGGAAAAGAAAGGAGTCCCGTGTTGCTATCAGGCTGCTCTCTGGATGAGTGAGTCTGTTCACTGCCAACTAGTCAGAGCAACTGAACATCAGAGTAACGGGGTTTTCTCACATGAGCCATGTGGTGTCGGACACACTGTGAGTCACCAGACCCTCAAGGGATGTTAGCTGGTGAAAAAGGAGATAAAGGCATTCTACCCCAGTAAATGATGTCTGAGTTAGGTTATCATCACAAATACTTTTGAATTTTAAAGGTCAAAAAGTTAGTTTTATCAAATTAATTGTAAACTTTGTTCACCAAGAGGCCCAAACGTTGGCATCGAGGCTCTGAGCTCATGTTTCCACTGCTGAATCCCGTGCAGGTGTGTTTTTAGAGTTTCTTTAATCTGCCTACATTTGAAGAGCATCTGCAAGCCACTTTGCAACGCATCTTCACCCCACTTCATGTCAAACCTTTATACTGCTGCACTCCCCACTTTCATGCTCACGCATACACATGGAAGGGTCCCACAGCCCTATCACCAAATATACCGTTATGTGAAAAAGTTTTTCACAGGTTTCACAGTAGCTTGTAGATTCAGCTTTAGTTTTCTTTTTGTTAACTTTAATACTTAGCATGCTAACGCTTGGGGTTTTTCCAGTTTCTCTGAGCATTGCACAGTCTGATCTTGGGGCCGTCCACTCCTCGGAAGATTTTGGCATCATGTTAACAATCCTGAATACTCAAGAGCAAAAAACTGCACAATTTTTGTTTTTACAGAGGTGTTCACATTGTTGATGATCAGTTAATCAAGTGCATTTGATGAGCAGCACCTGACTTACCCTCTTATTCCCTATTCAAAGAGTAAGGCTTTACCTGCAGAGAGTCAGGAAAACTTTCTTTTTCACATATAAATGACTGCAGAGGGAAATGAGCATCTTTCAACTGTAGTGGTCCCGACTGAGGTAAAAACGTTGAAGACAGAGGTGGTGGATGGATCGAAGCAGCAGGCAGAGATGGAGGGCAGCAGCACTGCCACTGAGGCTTTTATATATGATGTGAAGAGATTGAAGAATGTTACACGTGCATGATGGGCAGCTTGGTTTGACTGTCGAACTGGATCACAGGCTTTGTTCCAATTATAAACTTTTTTTTTTAAAACCTTGACTGATGTGGAAATCTGTATCACCCGGCTCTGAAGACTACTCTTCAGCAAAAAGTATGAATATTTTACAATTCCACTCCCTTCTCAATAAGGCGAACACAGTACTTTTTTTGGTTATTTTGTATGTTTTTGTTTTTTGTTTTTAGTATAAAAAGGAACAGGGAGTTCTGTCCTGTGTTCCTAAATAACAAACCTCCAGGAGAGGCTCCATTGAGCATGACCTTTTCAGACCTCTCCAAATTAAGTAACCTACTTTAAATAATAAAATTTAAAAAAAATCACGCACACACACAACCATGAACTATTACATCACGCACACAGAATCTTTTTGCAGCAATATATGATCCAGAAATGTAATATCGGAGATGGCAGAGATATCTAACAGTGTGAGTGGAACAGTGTGGAAATTGAAAAAGTGAAAACTGAAGGCAGCACGCATCTCAAGTGGAAATTAGAGGGATGAGGCCGTAATGCCGAGTTAATTATGTTTGTGTGAGGCCAGTGCATTGCCTGAGAAGGTTTATTGGGAAGCTATTGTGTGCCAAGATGTTATTGGGGGTTAATACTCTTCTTAATAATACTCAAAAACCATCACAAATGATTTCAGGTTGTGCTGTATCCAGCAGGTAACTATATTTTTTATAACTCGAGTCCACTCAGCTTAATAACAACCTAATGATCCATCTAAAAAAATATTTTTCATGTAGAAAAACATAAATTAACCCAAAAAACTACTTTTTATAACTGAATAAATGTTAAACTCGGACATGTGACATCACCATTTTGATTGTTTGAAACCATGTTTGATCATAATCAGAGGATCTGACTGAGAAACAGAGGGATGCTGGTAGAGTAGCATCTTGTCAGTCAAAGCTCCGCCCTAAGACACCACAAGTTGTATCATCTTTTTTTACTCTACTGCAAACATTAGAACATTAGAGCCAGAATTCATGAAATTTAACTTTCTTACAGTGTTTAAAAAATTACAAAATTACATGTAATTATATTAGTTAGAATTTTTTTGAGTATAGGTGTCACCCTCAGCAGTCTACAGGATTAGAGTATCAGTCTATGAACAAAGCAGTGCTACTTACCAACTATTTCAATGGACTCTTTGTTGTAAAGTTTTTTGTTCCAGTAGAGCATCCGCAGGAAAGGAAATGAGGTAAAAAGGACGAGGCATATTCCGAGGAACATGTAGCCTGTGAAACTGGCAAAATCAATCCCCTGTAGGAAACATAATGAAAATGTGTTAGACATTTGCCGTCTGGTCGAATTTCACCCAAACGTGACAAACTGAGCCTGGGCTTAGGCAAAAAATGTGTGCATGCAGCGATGGACTTTTATGGAGAGACACGGTGTGAAAAAAGTCGTGTGGTGTTCTGAGGAAAGAAAACTCAGAGTTCAGGAAAGCAGCTACCTAAAGTGTCCTCCCACACAAGTGCATTATAATGATGTCAGACTATGTTCCTTACTATATAAAGGGCCTTGAGAGCACTGAACTCTTGAGGATAGCAGGAGGTGCATTCACACTCCAAACTGTAAGTATGAGCCGCACAGCGTACCTGGAAGTTTTGATTTAAGAGCAAAATGACACAGAATTTGATTATTGCACACAAATCGGTGCGTTCTTTCATGTTCTGTCTACACTCTCCTTTGTAATTCCTGCTGCTCTATTTTCCTCGTCGCTTCAGTTTCCCACGCTGTCAGATTCACTTCACTCATCAGCCTCTGTTCCCCGATCAACCCTCCTCCTTCCCGTCTCCACCTCACTCACTGCATTTCACTCTTTATCTCCATCAGCCATCTGCTCCACCACCTCTAGCCACTATCTCCTGCCTTCATTTGGGATTCTGCTCACTGATGGTCCTCTCATGTGACTCCCAAAAAATACATTTTTGGGATAAAATTTTCCTCTTTTTTTCCAAATGGTCTCTCCCTGTTTTAAGGAAACTTAAAGTGACAGAAAAACAACAAAATATAAATAAACACTTGGGTGTTTCTCATTGAGCAACATTTAAAGACACTGCAAGTAGCTCACGCTGCCTTTATTTCACATGCTTTCACAGTATAAAGAACGTGTTTCTGATATTCAGTGATAAAACTGGTTAATAGTAAAAGGGTGATGCAACTAAACATGAGTGGAAGTGTCTGAATTATTAAACAGCAGATTTAATCCAGATATTCCCTTTGGATCACAGAGTTAATTTTGTCACTTGTAGCACATCCCGGCTACATCCTGGTTTATGCGCACCCCCATGGAGACCTGCTCTCCATCTGCAGTGACCTGCAGGGCAGCCTGGTGGACTGAGAACAGCTGCTTGCATGAACCTGCTGTTTATGAAAAAAATTCACAATTCCTGTTAAAATCTCGGTTTCAGCGATGAAACTAAAAGCTGAAGAATAATAAAATGTTGTGTGCCCGCAGCCTAATGAATACAATATGTGCTTGCGACAGTCACAAGACCAAAAAGAGAGAAACTTAAACTTGTTGATGTGATTGTATTTCTGTTTGCAGCCATAAACTGCGACCCCGGTATGTCCATATTTCAGAGCCAATGTCAACGATTCTGGTTGGAGGGGATCCAATTGGCAAGGAAAGTCCCTCTGTGAAATGATACCAGAGTTTTCATATGCACAATGGTACCTTGGATTGTAACAAGCTAAAGAGACGGACACTGTGATGAGGAGCAGAACCTAAACGCATACACACTTTACGGACGTGCCTTTCTTTCCATCTCCAGATCCCTAAAATCCCTTCGCCACATACAAGCCAGCAGGGCAAACTAACTAACGGGTAAGCAGACCGCGCACGCACAAACAAGCTGTGCTTATCGCGGGCCAGACATGACTGAACGAGTGTGCCGTGGCTGTAACCCTGCAGTTCTGTCACCTGGGAAATGGAGCCAAGACAAACTGGACAATGGGCTGTGGAAACCTGGCGCTACAGGAGCTACAGTAACCCGGAGACCACATACTGCTCGCGTCGGCAAAGGCCAAAATGTCACATGCACTGAACAGATGTCACATCAAGCAGTTGTGAAAATGTCATATCTTGTAGAGATTTAGCATCATGCTCCTCTGAGTATACAAAGAGTGAAGGTTATGAGAGGAACATGCAAGTCAATGCCCTTTTCAGACAGCGACACTCTGCTCAGTAAAATGTTGTCACTGCTGTTTCAGCTTTGTCCAAACTTGTGCAACAGATGACAACTTGTGTCTAAGTGGGTTTCCAAAAGGCTCAGGTAATGAATAATGGCTGGATTTTAGTTAAGCCAGAACATGGATCATCATAGAATACAGATCAACTTGACAAGGCAGTACTGGTGTAGTACTGGGACTGCAGACTGTGGCAGCTTTTCACTGGGAGTGACCAGGATGGAAAAGATCATACATCAGAGGGACAGCTGAACCTGAAAGTTATTGGATGTTTCTAAAAGTTAGAGGCAAGGATGAGATAGTGTAACACAGGAGTGGGCAACTCCAGGCCTCGAGGGCCGGTGTCCCTGCAGGTTTTAGATGTGTCCTTGATCCAACACAGCTGATTTAAATGGCTAAATTAGCTCCTCAATATGTCCTGAAGTTCTCCAGAGGCCTGGTAACGAACTAATCATGTGATTCAGGTGTGCTGACTCAAGGTGAGATCTAAAACCTGCAGGACACTGGCCCTCGGGGCCTGGAATTGCCCACCCCTGGTGTAATATGTGCAAAGGAGGGACACGGTAAAACGAAGACTACAGAGAAGATTTATGAATGAAGGAGGAAGTAGGACATGCAGGGTTGGTGTGACAGAGGGCTAGGATGAGATGGAGGCTAATGATCCACCCCTAAAGGGAGCATCCAGAGGAAGCAGAAGGAGAAAGTAGTTATGTGCTGTAGTGGGGAATGTAGTAGGAAATAGTGTTTCTGTATGTATGAGGGACATAATCCAACCACAAGCCACGTTACAACATTCACAAAACAGGAAGGAGCAGAGAGTTTTCTATCAACAGCTACATGGGGCAGGTGTCCATCACTACAGGCTGCTACTTCCACACACGTGGAGTTTTCTGCTTTGCTTTAACCACACTCCTAACATCCTGTCATAAAACCTTACTACACCGATCAGGATATGTAAGCAGGATGCTGGCATTTCATTAGCAAAATCAGCTTCGTTGTAACAAAAAACAGCAATCATCAATACCGATTCAATATGCTATATTTCTGAAAACTAAAATAAAATGTGGGCTACTTAATAGAAGCACTCTGATTCATTGAGGCCTGACTCATTGCAAATACTGCTGGTTCATTTTGATTAACAGGAAGGGAGCCGGCTCTCCGTGGATCTCTCAGAGGCTAAGCAGAGTGTAACAGCCACTTTTGAGGAGTTTCTGGTGCAGCCAGCAGATATCCTGCTGTTCATTCTGAACTTTATCCACTAAAATGATTTAGTTGAACTCAAACTGAAAGAGGGCTGCAAACCAGAAAGCTTCCGATACTAAAAATGTTTTCCGTTGACTGCAGATCCTGTATATCCTGACACATTAGCAGAGATGGGATGATTGAAAACACTTTTATAACACATCATCCACCACTGGAAAAAAGCTGGGTGTTACATGGTTTCACACATTATTGCATCAGGAGTGGCAGTCTTCCTCACAGGTTTAATCAGAGACTAACCCCAAAGCTGGGGTCACATCACATGTAGATGGCTTTACCAACACACTGTAAGCTTATACTGCTACAAACGTCACAGGAAGGTGAATGAATAGAAGGTGTTATGCTACACAGCTGTCACAGCTGCTGCAAATGATTACATGTAAGAAAATAAGGGAAAATGGCTGTATGGACTTTCACACAAACACTGTACATGTGTAAATGCAAACCTTTGACCAGGAACAGAAATAAAATCAACCTGTAATGCTGGTCAGCTGCATTGAAATAAGAGGAGGTAGCAGCTTCTTTTCCCACCGACATCTTGACATCTTTAATTCTTGTGATTTATGATAGCTGCTGCAAAAATATAAATTGGATTCATTGCCACTACATCTCCATTCATCACCTACACATCAACGTAAACAAGGGTCACCACTCACGACTGTATAAATACATGGACAGATTGCGCTAAACAAAGATTGCAGATGTACAACCCTGCAAACACAGATGATTACATTTGCTCACAGGACAGGAAAAAGTCTATATGTACAGTGTACATGCGTGTGCGTGCTGGAAATGCAGCATCAGGCTGTTAATTCCTCAGTTTGTATGAGGAAATATGAAGGCTTAATAAGGAAACACTAACTGTACACAACTGAAAAATATTATTTTCATTATCATCTCCTGTAGATCGAAGTTACATTCAATTAAAAAATAATAATTCTGTCCCTTCAGACTGAATTATTGTACAGTCTAATATCAAGTTAAATATCATGACTGAATTTAGCAAACATTCTCAAAGCCTGTTAATAAAACCTCAGTATTCAGTCTGTTCATGCTGTAACACAGACGCTTTTCCTCCTCCGTGCAGAGATTTTACCTGCTGACTGAAATCCTCACAAGGTCCGGTTTGAAAAACAGATTTAAATAAAGGAAAAAGAACAGCTGTTCAATAAAATTTTAAAAATCTGATAATGATAAAAGAAAAGGTTTGTCATTATTTTTTAACCATTATTAATCATCATTTTTAATCATGAGCTTATAACTTAACTTTCTACCCCATAGCCCTCCAGTTGTGGTCCCCCCCAAATTCAGTTCAGTGGGTCATTCAGTAGGTCATTCAATGGGTCTTTCATTTGGTCACTGAGTGGGCCATTCACGGGGTCGTTAAGTTTATGGAGGAGGTTGAGTAGATTCTCATTCATTTCCTGTGGTGATCATCAATGTTCAAGTGCATAGTGTGGAGGATGTCATGATGCCTTGAGGCAATCAGATGTAAAACACAATATTTCTGAGTGTTTTAAGTCAGATTTGACCCGAACATGACAGGGAGGCTAAGCTAAGTATGGTTACTTCAGGCTCTAAGAAGCCAAAAACACAAAATGTGAGACTTGAAATTAGGAGTTCACAAGCCAGTGTGATATGCATCGTGTAAACTTTTACCAAACACCTGCAAGACATTTAGCCTCAATCCTTTTTTCAGCCAGTACTAACAAGTAAATCTACCTGTCAGTGTTGTACCATCAGTAATGTCTTTGCTTTGCTAGATGATTTCTGTATATTCGAGCTGTGAAGGTGCCTACTTCTCTGCGCAGGTCCTGATTTGATACTATAATCACATTGGGCGGATCTCCGACAGCTGTGGCGGCCCCTCCAATGTTGGTGAAGATTACTTCTGCAATCAGGACATGTCTGGGGTCTAGATTAAGCACCTCACACAACCTGCAAAATCAGACAGACAGAAAAGCCCTTTAGTCATGATTAGATTACAAAGGGTGGGGTAAATAGAGAAATATGAAAAGGATGTTGGTATTGATCCTTTAACCTTTTGTGCAGGACAGCCACACTCAAACCAAGTGGACAGCAGTATGTGTGTGTGTGTGTGTGTGTGTGTGTGTGTGTGTGTGTGTGTGTGTGTGTGTGTGTGTGTGTGTGTATTCCACCTGAGAATAAAAAAAAGGCACCTTATGGTGACGGGAGTAAAAAGCATCATAGTGGTCACGTTGTCCAGAAAAGCAGATAAAATGGCAGCAATGAGACAAAGGATGATGATCATGGGCCACACTTTTCCTCTGGCTAACTGGTAAGCCTGCCGAGTGGAGACAGATAATGGAGAGATGAGGTTAGGTTGTTTATTATCGGCACCGCCAAAACGGCTGACTCAGAAAACACATCCGGCACAGCTTCGGACCAGTTCTGACTGTTCTTTGGTGTGTTTAAAAAATCTAAAAATATGTAAATCTTTCCATAGTAGCACAAGATATAATATCATTAAGATTCATAAAGAACTGCACATGGATTCCCACTTTAAAACAGCACTCTTACATCACCAGGTCAGGATGGCCACCTTTCAAAGGTAACGGTGTGATGTGTGAGAGCTGCTGAGCTCTTCTCTGAGAATACATTTACTTCTCCAGGTCACACTTAAAATTTACATGCTTGCATGATCTCACTGTTTTCCAGGACTCGCTGTACCTGACGCACAAAAGCGCTCGTCCTCGTTCACCATGTACAGCGCACATTCGGTATAAAAGTTTGCTGTTTTTCTGATGGGAGACTTTGACCTTCTTTGAAAAGAGAAGACGGATGTGTTATCTTCAATAGTAGAGCAAGAGAATAATTTGAGAATGTGTATTCCTCTGTCATATGGAGGAAAGATAGGACTGTGAAACTGTAGCGCTTTTTTTTTTTTTTTCACAGTTGCAGTTAAAGAGCACTTCTTCCCGGAAAAAAACCCATAAAATCTGATTATTTTGAAGATTTAGTTTTCTGAACTTCACCTCGAAACACAACGAATGTCATCCTTGTCAGCCTTTACTGCTGTTACTGTATTTTTAGGTCAGGATGTAAAGATAGATTTGCAAACTTGATAGGTTGTCTGACGTTGGAAAGGTCCTCCTTTGTGAACCTTTGTGACATTGGATAAGTCAAAATCAAAACTACAGTCGTGTCGTGTGTTGCTGCTAATTTCAGAAATAGCTCAAAGCCTGTCGAGACATCTCACAAGCGGGCAGCTTATTTCATACACTTCCGCTCAGCATCCTACAGCCCCTTAAATATCTTGAGGTTATTTTTTTTTATCTAGCGCACACAAGACATTCATCAGAAGTTATCATCTTGTGCTAAAATTATCTTATGCAAAAAAAACAAGAAATATTTTGTATCGACAAAAAGTTGTCACCTTTCAAATTTAAGTAGGTTGAACAGGATCCCACGTGATTGAAAGTAAACAGAAATTTAAAATCAATTCGATGCTGTATGTGGGCCTTTGTGTTCTTACTTACAGTCATGTGACAAAGAGAGTTGTCATCAGCTTGTGGAACCAGCAGCAATAACCTGAGGTAAATGTGACTTCATCAATCTCTTTTGGCCCGTTTTTCTTTGCAGCATCGCTTCAGATCATTGAGGATTGTGGATATTCATGCAAAGCTCATTTCTTTCAGATCGGGGTCCATTCTGTTGTACGTTTGCTCCTGTGCTTGAGATCAATGTCCTGTTTCATGACTTGGTTTGGGCCAAGCTTTAGCTGTAGTACAGAGATGGCCTCTTATTTGACTTTAGAATACTTTGGTTTACAAAGAAGTCCACGATTAATTCAATGACTGCAGGGTGCCCAAATCATTACCCCTCCACCACCGTGCTGACAGTTGGTATGCGCTGTTTGGTTTTCTCCAAACATGCTGCTGCACATTGTGGACAAACTTCTCCACTTTGGTCTCCTCTGTTCAAAGAACATTGTTCCAGACGTCGTGAGGTTTGTTCAGATTCAGCTTTGCAAACCTTAACCCTGCTGCCATCTTCTCTTTTAGAGAGAAGCTTTCTCATTCAGACTTTTTCTAATTTTCTCATCAACATCAATTATTAATATTATCATTATTATTATCATAAATCAACTTACCTTCACTGCACAGTAATCGAAGAAGCCAGTCTCTGAGAAAATGGCCACCAGCACCATCTGTGTTGTTGAAAAGAAGAATTTTCCTTTAAGTAAGATTATGTCTCCCTGTGAGATTTCAGAAACGGCCCCCTAAGATAATAAGATGCTGTTTATCTTGGATGAGATGGTCAGAATGAAATATGTGCCTGAGTTCCAGGGTTCATTAATACTCTTGTCTCTTTATTACCTTCCTTGTTATCATCGCGATGAGTTCAAAAATGTTTTTACAGGTAAGCTCGAGGATTTCAAACTGCTTTTAAATGGATTCCAGAAATGTCTCAAACTCCCTCTTCATAATTTTATACCAAAACTGACATATTTAGGACATGTTTGTTTAAATGGAGACTGGATTTTTTTTGTTGTTCGTTTCACTCGCCTCCATAGAAATGTATTTCGCTGTCAGACATTCAGAAGACTGATAGAAAGGGCGCAGAGTGAAGTTGAGAGAGTCAGAGAGCTCTTTTTTTAATGCTCTGAGATTTGTTGAGTCAGTGAACATGTGAGGAGTTAATCACCATGCCAAACAGAAGAGCCAGCGTCTCATAGTCGATCCACTCCACCACTGTGACAAGGCTGGGTCTCTGTGGGCGAGACAAAGAATGTAATTACACAGATTTATCAAGAATTTCTGGATCTGAAGGGGAAAAAACAAAAGGACAAGGTTAATAAATGATGATCAGACTCGTTAACAGCGTTAAACTTTTGGGTACGGCTGTGTCTGGATGCTGCTATAACTCCTCGCTGGCCCAGTTCCTGCTTCATTTGCCGAAGCAGACAAAAGCACAGGTGGAACTAGGACCACGAATGACTGCTCTGTTCCCAAAGCGTCCCGCTGGGGTGAAAATGTCCACTACTCTCAAACTTGGGCCAGTGACTAAATTTGGAAACACATAGATGTTAATGAATGACAAACTTTGAAATTAATCATGACATTTCAGAAATTAATCCTGCAGTTTCCACTGGTTTTGTCTGTATTGTGTGGCACAAAACGTACTTACGCCTGAATAACTGTTCAACCATAACTCAAATACATGAATCATATGTTAAAGCGTTCATAATATGTTCTGAATGTACCACTGCATCCCTAAAAAATCAGTAAAATCAAATAACGAGAGAGACTTACATTCCCGATGATAGACAGAGCAGCTAAGGCTGCTAAAGATCCCAGCATGGCAGCCAGGGTGCGGTGCACAATCTGAAAGGACAAAACATTTACCACACTCACTTCTAAACAAACGAGCACTCACCTTCACATTAACTCTGTAAATATTTTTAGCAGTGTAACATTCCTGTTCGTTCTGATGCCTTCTCAGTCATCTCTAGACTGATCTGTGAGGCATCTCTGGAGGAAGGAATGGTTTGAAAAAAAAATTCTGCAGGCATTTCTTGAAAACGTTTATTGTTATACAGTAGGAGTCACGTGCCTGGCTCTTTTGTCCATCTGCATCACCATCCTCCTGTGGCTTTGACTAATGAAAATAATAATCCTAATGTGAAAAAAACCACTGTTTTTTAGGACATTTTAAATATAAATTAGTCTGTTTTGTTTGGTAAATAAAATACTTCTTCATTTTAATTGTTTAATTTGAGGGAAAAGGGCAGAAAACAGTATTAGCGCTCCAAACAATCACAAATAGGCAAACACTGATAATTATTTACATCTGTTATTCTTGTGTGTTCTGTTTGATTTATTGTTACAGAGGAGGTCTTCTGTGAGGTTTTCTGCTGCTAGCATTACTGATATTATTCTGAGGACTATTATACATAAGAGAAAGCACCTGCGTGAATGACAGCTGCAGCGACTGGGACAAGGAGTCAAGAAACTCTCGTGATCCATAAGATCTATGATGTTCTGTCATTTTCATCTTGGGTGAACTATCAAAGTCCACAGTGCTATTCAGAGGTGCTCATCACCACACACGCAAAAATATAATGCATCTTAAAATGAGTGCGTGATGAGCACAGACGATCCTTTAACATTTCATGTTGTGTTCAAAGGAGAGACGCTTGTTATTTTGGGATTTAACAGTAACATTTGTGTGAATTATTTATTATGTAGAACAACTACTGTGTATATAATGAATATAGAAAGTGAACTGTTTAACGATGAAAACGCTGCTTTTTTTTAGAGTAAATCAGAAATATTTTACTGACACAGTAAAAGTGCATTCGTGTTGCAAAACCATCAACATTTGACTCCAGGCACAAAAAGAAATGAATGAATGTTTTTAAAAGTCAAAAAAGACATTTTGACATCTGAATTACTCTTGATTTTTAAGCTTTAATTGCATAAATTAATGTGAATTTAAATGTGCTTAACATTTTTACAACATTTTATGCCACTCTGTGTGTTTCTTGCACAGCGTAAGAGGCTTTCTTTATTCTATTTTATTTCCTTTAGTTAACATGTTTTTATTGACAGATCTGAATCTAATTTTATTGGTAAAAATAAGATTCTGCTGTCAGTTAAAAACAACAGCATCACAGTCGCAGTGTCTTTAATGCATTACTGACCTTTGTGAACTGCTCAGCACTAAACTGGGTCTTGTCACTCACAATGAATAATAGCTCAGACGCTCTGTAGACATTTATAATCTATTTGTCTTAATACTTCTGCTTAAATAATGAGTAAAGTGGAACAAAAGCAGTGAAACTTTCTTCAGCCTCAGCCTGTCTCAAAACTGACAAAATAAAAATTACATCACAATTCTTTACTTCAGATCTTTTGGAACATTTCACTGAAATGCCCATTAAAAAAAAAAATCACAAACTGGTGCCCAATTACCAACACTGACAAATCCCTTTGTTTGAGCTCAGCATTCAGAATACCCTAAATGTGAGAGACTGCATATGCACTCACTCATTAGGAGGCTGCGTCAAGTTATCAGACTAGAGACTAAAAGCATAATTCTGTGGAGGAGTGAGACATTAGCAAATGGAGACCTGACAGCGCCGAAGTCAGACAGCATCCTGATGTCTGAGCGCTCGTGCACTGCATGCTCATCTCTTTCTGAGACGACCCCTCTGTCTTTGAATTACAGCTTTTGTGAGAGGATCTGTCAGTTACACAAGCGACGCATGAGCGAGCGTGCAGAGTAAAACTGCGCTGTCATCTCTCAAGGCCTGCGCTTGACTTTCATGTCCCAGCAACCCCGTCGGTACAGTTTAGTGAGTTCACATGCTCTCAGACAGAGGAGTCCATCTGATTTAAACAAGCAAACGCTGAGTGGAAGTAAAACTCATATCTAAAGCCACAAACCAAGAACCTCCTCAAAGTGATAGCGGTTTCAGAGATTGATACTCATCTGATAAAATAAGTCAGATATTAATCATCCATTAATGATGCAGATCAGAAAAGTATCTGACTGCTGCCTGAAACATGCATTCTTCTTCTTAGTGTCCAGCAGGGGGCAAGTGCTCTGGTTGCAAAAAGACTTGGTTGCGTGGATGTTATAAAGCTCAACCAAAACAAGACATGTTGCACTGCTGGTCATACCATATCAAGGTCCTGAGTCAATTTACAGTGTTTTGGGAGTTTTGTTTATCTAAATACTCTTGGTTTTCTAAGTGTTTGTATTGTTTTATGTATTTTTCTACTTAGTGCATTTAATCCGCTCTTGTTTTAGAGTTTAATGCATCTGTGTCAAGTCTAATGTTCACTCTCCAGCTGAAGGAGGGAAGCATGCAATCTGTTCTGTTCTGTTTGTTTGTTTGTTAGCAGTCTATGGTCTACAGTTTCCAAGATATCCTGCTCAAATTTTGTGTGATGGTAGATATCAATAACAGCTTGAGCTGATTTAATTTTGGCAAAAATCAGGTCAAGGTCACACCAAATTTGAAATTCAGTACGAGCATTTGACCTTCATTATTAGCACCCAAGGTCAAAGTTAACCTTGGAAAAAAATTCAAGAAACCACCACTTTGTTTTTTCAATCCAATGCCCTTTGATGTCACAATGACTACAAAATATTGCAAAATCACACACTGGCTATCTGAAAATGTCACATTTTAACAGCTGAAGATTTCAGCCAATTCTGTTCCAATCATATGGGTAAAGATAATAAAATATATATGACTTTATTATGTAATGCTTAAAGCTCATAGGTCAAAGGTTGCATGTTAGCATGCTGCGATATAAACATTGTAAAACATCGAAGTTTTAGTATAGCCCTTGACCTTTAGGGGGAGCTCTATGAGCTTATTTCACTTCCTACTTTATTTTGAGCTTCAGCGTTCCTTGTGCTTTGCTTTTGTCTCCTCTTCTGTGATTTAGTTCAGCTGTCTCTCATTCTCCCCACCTGTTTCCACTTCCTCTACTGCCATACTGTGTGTAAATTTACAGTTGCTGCCTCCCCCTTTGTCAGAGCATCTGTTCTCCTTGGTCTAGTGATTCTCCTCAGTATGTTATCAGGTTTTCCTCATTGGGCTCTGTTTTGCAATCAATCAATAAATGACTTTCTTTAAGTTCAGCACAGTCTGTAGTGTCCACAGACCCATGTCAACAGAGCTCATCTTTTAGTTAAGTGAATTCTTATTGGAAAATACAACATATAATATGAGGAACACAGTCATTTTATAGTAATTTCCATTTTAATCAGGGTTTAACGGACACAGAAGTAGCTTTTTTTAAACTAATAACATGGCTGCCCATTTCTGTTTGGCTGCTGTCATCTGTCTGATTTAATTGTGTTGGGAGCGGTCATCATTCAGTGTTGCCAAATCCCAGTCCAGTACTATGTGCAACCTAAGACAAATTTCAGCACCATCAACTGAGGAGGGCAAAGTTTAGTCAATTGTCCCGCTCTGACAGGTGCATCGAATCTAATAAAGTTAACACAAGTGGGGCGGCGCTGCCACTGAGGCACAGACTGCACATGCTCACTGGCAGAAGAAGTCTAATCAGGCGAAATAAAAACACCTGTGTGGCAATGAGCTACCGGTGAGGCTCTTTTTTTTTTTTCATGACTTGGCAGAGTAGGAAAAGCACAGGTGCTGCTTATACCGTTAACGATTGCTCTGCTCTATTTCAAGTGTCCCTGCAGGCCATAGGAGTGTGACAGTGAGCCAGCATGAACAATACCAGGAGCCTGAAAGTGGAGCAGCTGAATGGAATTCAGCCATAATCAATTTTATAAATCCCACCTGTTTTCTTTTTCTCTGACAGTGAAATGTTTTTAATTCTCGGATTAAAAAATGATGTCTGAACTAAACGCAGCTCTGGAGATTCAGTTTCCCGGTCCTCATTCTGACTCAATGAGCATACTTCTGTTTACTTTGTGCTCGTAGCATAATATCACATATGCGGTCCAGTGTTCTTGTGTGAGTGTGTCGTTGTTGTTCGCGGGCCGCGCTGAACTGTGCGTTTCACATTTCAAACTCTTCCACAGACACCGAAAACAAGCTCGTTCATCACCCGTAGAAGAGCGTGAGCACCACAGGCTATTTACCTCAAAGATGATGAGAACATAGACCCCAGCTAGGATGATTCCAGCGATGGCCACCTGTGTCTCCACGCTGACGTAAAGCGGCTGGTGGGTCATGGATAGCGGCACCACCTCGTTATCCTGCAGGAACGCCTGAATTGTGATGGCGATGGGATCACTGTGCAAGAAATGAAATGGCAACAAGAATGGTGGGAATGATCATCTTTCATTGCTTTTGCTGGAATTACGACCGTCTGTCAGAAATCTATCGGCAAAGACAAAACACCAGAAACACCTTAAGTCAAGTTATATTGTTTAATTTGCTCCTTTTCGGTGGGTATCATAGCGCTTTCAAAATCAATGCCACCTATCAAACACATTTTATTCAATTAATTGTTTTTCATTTACATTTATTTCTGTGGGACTAATTCACAACACCAATCATTATAGTACATCACATTCATGAAAGTCTTTATAAAGAGACAAAAGGACAACACGCTATGCAGAATTCCCTTTCAACAGGAAGAGACCTCCAGCAGAACCAGGCCCAGAGAGGTGCAGCCATCTGCCATAACTGGGGGGAGTGAGGGGGAATAGAAGAGGAAAAGAGGGACCACAAACAGCACAAAACTCGAGCTGCAGAAGAGAGAAGTCAATGACGACAAGGCGCAGCAGTGAAAAAGGTCTCAGTGCATCATGGGAAGTCTCCCACCAGCCTGAGCCTATTGCAGCAAAACTAAGGGATGGTTCAGCCATAAATATATGACCTTTCTCAAAAAGGAAAGTTTTAAGCCTAATCTTAAAGAAGAGAGGATGTCTGTCTCCTGAATCCAAGCTGGGTTCCAAAGAAGGGCCTGAAATCTCTAGGCTCTGCCTCCATTTCTATTTTTAGAAACTGTAGGAACCACAAGGAGCTTCTTAAAGCTGATAATAAAGAATTACATCAGTCCAGCATAGAGGTAACAAATGCGCGAAATACTTTTTCAGCATCCCTCTGAGACAGGATGTTTGTAATTTCAGTGATATTGATAAGATGAAAGAAGGCCATCCTACAGAGATTTGTTCAGTGTTTGAGCCCCAGAAGCCTCAGAGCTCAGACACCCAGAAGGGATCTAATCAGATGCTCAAGCTGGCTCCTTTTAAAGTGAAGGAGCAGCAGTTCTACTTCAAACTCTCCCAGAAACTCATCTCAGCCATTTGTATCTGCAGAGCTCCTGACCAAAGGAACGTAGATCAAGTCGAAAACATGTCCAGGCTTATCAAGCAAAAAAAAAAAAAAAAAAAGTCAAAGAAAGTGACTTTAAAAAAAAACAGAACAGAGAGTAAAGAGTTGCTCTCTTGAACCAGCAGACAGTCCAGAATTGCTCGCTGGATATATTGTGCATGTCTCTGACACCAGTGGCTTCTAACTGGGATAAATGTTACACACTCTAAATGATAAATGCACACACAAAGAGTCAGAAATATGACAGTAAAGGTGGTAGAAAGCTTGCAAACTACACTGCTTTGAAAGTCAGAAAGGTTAGCTTTAAAATTATTATTGGTTTTGTTGTTTTTGTATATCACATAAACAACCCCAGTGATAACCAGAACTACTTTTAGGCCCATGTGACTATTAAAACCGAGGTGGTTATATCAATACACTGTCACAGTATTCTGAGTACCTGTTGAGCATCTCAAAGGTTTTTGTTTCCACTATCTGGTCGCTTCTTTCTGCATGTAGAGGGATGGTCCAGTTATGAGTCACCTGTTTACAAACAGCACAATATAAACGAGGCAGAATCTCATTAGTGTAATAATACTGCGAGGAAGTTGGAGCTCGAGGCTGCTCTCACCTGCTGAGTCCTCCTCCGCCGCTGTCCTGGCTGCTCGGTCTGCTCTACCTGAATGAGGATGTACTCCTGAGTGGTCAAATCTATCATCCCCCCTGCAAAAGGCCCAGCCACCTGTAGCTTCAGTAAAGCATTGTCCCGAAAATCAGTCACATTCATTGCTGTGAGACGTGGGCGGTCAAGAGAAAAATCCAGACACATTGAATGTTTTGTGCATTTGAAATGAACGGGGGCATTAAATCCACACCTAGAGTGTGTTAGCATGGCTCATACTCGATGTAAAACAACCCTGCTTCATTTTCTAGCCCTCTCCTCTTTGCTGTGATCTCAGAAGTAGTAGGGCATGTCTACGGTAAGTCACTGGAAAGGATACAGAAACTCTCTGTGGGAGAGACTGCCAGCATCCTCCAGGGGTTGTCTCGATCAGGATACATGCTGAAGAACAGCTGGAACCAGAATAAAGTCATCGGTATATTTTATAAAGAACATATTTTAAACAGGATCATAGCAGGTAATTTTAGTGACGACACACTGTGCTTTATTTACAGTGTTTACAACTGAAAACAGCTCTGATGCTCTGCATGGCTGGAGCTGCACTGTCTCTGCAGACAGCTCCGCTTCCCCCCTGCATCCACTACCAGCCAGTCATCCTGCCACACCTCTCCCTCCTATAGCTGAGCCACACCCTACCACCACAAAGATGCACTACACAGATTCAGTGAATGCAGTTTTTATGAAAATGGTCTAAAATGTGGTGTTTTATTTGATTTAATCCAGTGAAGAGTAAACAGACCAAGAGGTGATTAGCTAAGGTTAGTATTAAAAAACAGAGGAAAGCAGCTGACCTAGCTATCATTAACTTTCAGTGATTTCAGTAATACCAAACAGCTTTTTTTGTAGTAATTAGGTTTTTACCATGTTATACTTTCCATTTTATTATGCGGTGGTGTCTGTTCTACGGGGACATATATACTTACACTGCAGAGAACAACAAATGCAAAGATGGTGGCAGTTTTGGAGACTTTGAAGCAGCATCTGGAAAGACCAAAAAGTGGATAGTGAGTAAAATTGAATGAGCTTGGTGTGATACTATTGGTTTTAAACCAAGAGGCTCAGGCCCCATAAAACGGTTTCAAGATTAATCTGTAACATGATAATGATTATCTTTTTCCACTGGCCCTACTTTTCCTTAAGCACTTTTATCTGTTTCTCTGAGGAATAATGGCATCACACTGAGGGATCAAATGGAGAAAAGAAGTTGGGACTCACTTCACATTGCTTGTGAACCTGAAGCTGAGGTTGAGGTTTTCCAGAGGGTCGTACTTCTCCGAGGAGCTGGAGTGCGATAGCGACAGGCTGGTGACCTCGCTGCCCAGCCGGTACCGCCTCTCCACATCCAGGGAGCCGTTGTTCCAGGGCTCCTCCCCTCCAACAAAGCTGGGGTCATGTAGGGTCATGTAGGTTATGCTGGAAAATGAATAATCACAGTCTCAGCCCCTCATCAATCACTACACCTCAATACAAAAAAATAAACACAACACTCAGCAGCTGCAGATCGCAGAGGTCTAAAATTAAAAAATGTTTCTCCCATCATCCCATAAGTCTGTTGTACAACCCTGTAAGAAGGGCAGTACAACACACTTGTAGGATGAGTCATTTCATTTAATACAACCACTAATGTTCCATTGTATTTGTGCCTAACATGAGGCATTAAAGACATACACACACACACACACGCATGTTGGGTATTCATATCTTGTGGGGACATAATGCTTTCCCTAGCCCCTTAGCCTTAACCCTAGCAATTAAAAATGAATGCCTAACCCTAAACCTAACAATAACCCAATTGTAACTTGTCATTAAAACGACATTCTGAGTCTCAAAAATGCCTTCAAACTCGTCGGGACCGGGATTTTGGTCCCCCCCACTTGTTGGTCCCCACAAGTATAGGAAACTTCCAATTTTTGGTCCCCACAATGATATGAATGCACATTCACTCACACACACACACACACACACAGTCCCCTTTTAAGGAAAAATACCGGTATTCCCGATTATAAAACTGCTTCTGTAAAAACCTTGGAGTTTAACAATGACAATTTCCAGATAACATATAATAAGACATTACAAAAAACATGTTTATAATGTTTTTTAAACTTATTAGTCATTTAAGTGTGTTTTTTGATTACTAAAGCTTATTTTTCTTGAAGCTACAGCAGATCATCTGCCTCCACCTCACCGCATTCCAGCATCCTCCACTGCATGTCCTCCATCACTACATCCATTAATCTTCTCTGTGGTCTTCCTCTCTTCCTCCCTCCTGTTACACCTGTCTCCCTCGCATTCACACACATATATTCTGTCTTGCTTCTACTGACTTTAATCCTCTTCTCACCAAAGTATCCACCTATACAGACTCTCTTCCAGCTGCTTCCTTTTCTCACTACAGATCACAATATCATCTGCAAAAGTTAATCGTGACTCCTGGCTGACCTCATCTGTCACAAAATGGGCTGCATGTCCACATCTGTGTAACTGTTTGTAGAAAGCAGTGTCACAAATGATAGATTCTGATATGACCGTTGTACAGGTCAGTAGTAGATGGAACAAAATTATTATAAGTGAGGTTCTAATATCTCAATTAGCTGCTCAGTATTAAAAATATATATTAACTTTTGCAGTATTAAAAATACTGAGCATGTCAATGTAGCATAAAACTTGAAATTTCTAATACATTAAGTTGCTGGCTGGTTGTATGTTGTCTGAGAAGCCTCCTTAGAAATATTGCATAAGTAACTCTGATCATATTGTCTTCACTCTGATGCTGACTGATAACCCAAGCTCAAAACTAGCAGAGTAAATTTGCACTTTTGTTAAGCTCAAATGAAAATGCTGGCTTCACACTGCATGTTTGTATGCGTCTGTGTGTGTGTGTGTGTGTACATAAACTATGAAGCATCAACCTAAAAAGTCAATGAAGCCCAACAACCTGCAGTTCCAGTTCTGTCCACTAGAGGCTGGCTCCAAAGCTGAGCCAGTGCCCGCACACTCCCATCTTAAAATTCCTTTAAAAATAGTTTCATTCTACATGACAGCTGAACTGAACTGTGCCTGTTTGTCCAAATATCATCACTTCTGGCTTAAAATAAAAGCCTGGCAGCAGCTAAGACTCACACAGCGAGACTCCACAATCAGGATGACCCTGTTTTGTTATAAACTTTTATCCAGTTTATGACTCATGCACTGTAACAGCTAAGAACTGCTTGCTAACAATTGCTAAGTAGCTAAATACGGTGGAGGTTTTATAAGAATGAACTAAATAAACTGATTATTTATCTTTTTTACCTAATCCCACGTGTAAGTATTATTTTTGTTTCATTTTGAGCATCTTAGGGTTTAGAGCAATATGCCCATGAAAAGCCTGAGGAAAGACTCACCTGTCATCTTGAGAGAATCGCAGCAGAGGCGACCTCTCTGTGAGGTTGGCTGAGTTAGTTTTTCCTCTGAGGATGTTGACAGCACTGAAATTTTTCCTGAAACTACAAATGCAACAGAATACAATTAGTTTTTAAAAAAGGGGTTAGAAAGTAACCAAACAAAGCGTTTCTGAAATATGATCCATTGAAAGGCTTTATCACCCTGCTGCTGCATCCAGTAACCTCTTATAATCAACAGCCACGCATACACACTATATTTGTTTTCATCTATCATATTATCACATGCTGAAAGTGCAGTATCAGTGGTCAAGTTTAAAAAAAACCCTGTAATCCACTGTTTCAGGGAACCTATGAGGTGACGGCTGTTATAATGTGTCCAAACTGACGTAAACCTTTGAAAATGTAAAGTCTCCCACAGCTAATCTTATAATCTTCAGGTATTTTAACCTTTGCTTGCCAAAAGTTTTAGGTGATTAAACCAGTCTGTGACAGAATCAAGTTCTTTTCTTTTATATAACAATATTTTTTTACAATGTAATGGGCATTGATTACTGTATTATTATAAGGCTCAAGAAGTCGGGCGTCTTTTTTGTGACATTTCTATTAAATTTCTATTGTACTGAGAGAGAATTCTCCAGTTATAAAATATACCTCCTGTATTTGTTGTTATTGAGTTAGTGGGCATCATTGAACTCCTCACAGACAGTTTTGTGAAGGTGTTTTGAAGTAATGAATGTGGCAAGTTTAGTGGATAAAGGACAAGATTACATCTGGCAAGTCCGCCCCATTAATCCCTCTGATACTTTTATACATCCATAAAGAGATTTACTGCATGTCTACAAATGTTTTCACCTCCCTTTTTTCCATATTTCCACTCTGATCCTGTCTAGTAGATGTGACTTAGCAGAAACATTTCCCTTCGCTGCGGAGTATTTAAAGGATATTAAGCAAAAAATAGTTGGTCTGTTTGGAACACCTACAACCAACAGCCATCGTGACCAACTCACTGATGATACTAGACTTAATTTTCACTTGAGAAACTTCTACCATTTGAATTTCCTGCAAAAACAGTGTCTGTTTTTTCAACTTTGTCTAAACTATTGTTTTACCTTCTCTTTGGAAGTGGCTTAAACCTGTATTCTATCAGAAGGTCACTAGGGGGTGAGAGCAGATTTTGATCCTGTAGAAGTTTATGGGAAAATAAATTTTTGACCTCTGACCTCTGTAAACACTTTCCTCTTGAGTTAAATATTTTCTGTAAATTTTGGTCATACAATGTTTCAAAATAGGGGATTATCTATGATGTGAAACATCAGTAAGCTTGCAGGTTAACAGTTCCTCTTCACATTTTCTTTTTTTTCACTGCGCACATTTTCAGGTCAAGAATTCAGAACACTTGTCCTCTAAATGAGCATCCCTTTATGTTCCCACGGTCTGTCATATTTCCTTGTTTTAGTCTCCCTTTTTGTTTTTTCCTGTTTTATTTTGTCAGTTGATTTTCCTGCCTCCAGGAAATCTTTGTATTTCCTCTAATTCCTTCATTGTTTACTTGGGTGTTGTCCTACAACCTTGTGTATGTGTAGTGGGAAAAAAAGTCTGTCTAGTTTTTTTTATTATTAGTCCTTTATTTAATAAAAAATAGCTCAGCTCACCATTGTCTTCTTATGTCTGTATAACTGTTAATACTAAAACTATAGCTAACTATAGTTAGCTTCGTAACTATTAAGTCATGTGGCCCGATCTGTCACATGACAGATGTTCAAACCTCAAAAAGCTCAGAGAGAAAGCTGCCCTCTGCTGGAGAGCACCACTTATTTTATTGAGCACCTACTGTCATGGTCCTGAGTCTTTGACCCATTGTTGTTGTGGTTTTGGACTTTTGGACTCTTTGGATTCTGGTTTATTTAGTATTCTAAAGTGTAGTTTATATTTCTGGCTTTGGTTCTTTTGCTTTGTGTAGTATTTGTATGTTCTGGTCTTTAGGTTTCTGTTACCATGCCATAAAAAGTGGAACACGGGGCGTGTTCCACTTTTTATCATTTACAACTTTATTTTGGTTAATGAAGCAGAAAAATACCTCACTTTAATCCCAATAACACCACAGCCACAGGTTTGAGATTAACCCCACCCCACCCCGGCTATTTTAGCTACCCACCGACACACACACATATGTCTCTGTCCGTGTGAATGGACATGACTCACGAGGAAAATCAGGCCTTATACATGTATATTCATGCATCCATGAGAGGATTTGGCCAGCAGAGCATGTGTAATATGTTTCTGCATGTGTGGTTTAAATTCTTGTTATGTGTTTATTTCAGATAATCCAGTAAGAGAGAATGAGGGCTTCTGCTTAAAAACACAACAAACAGTCTTAACCTGAGAAACAGCTGATGAAAGTAATGAGAATGAACCAAAGTTAAAGTAAAGATGTGTCACAACCAAAACTGAAAGCTGAAAGATGCCAAAACACTCACTTGAGCTGAGGGAGAAAGCAGGGTCATATCTCACTGGTTTCAAAAGCTTCCTGTCTCATGTACAGGCTTTCCTTTTGGCCTTGTCTGTTTGTGCTCAGTGTGTTCAATGTTCCCTGGCTTTGGATTCTTGGTTTGTTTCCTTCGCCTGGTCTTTTTCTTGTTTTTTGTTCTAAAATATCTTTTTGGTTTTTCTAACTGAAAACCTGTTTCAGCTTTTGATTGTTAGCTTGTTGTAAACAGAAGACTATTGGAGAGAACACAAATTTAAATGGATTAAATTCATTCTGCAAAGAACCATAACTGCGGCCAAGTAGAATTATACCTTATTATTCTGTGCTTTAAAGCTCCATGTTCCAAAACTTATCTTAACCTTTAATCAAAAAGCCTTGAGCAGCTTTCTTTCACTCCCTCTTTCTCACCTAGAACTTCAGTCTAGGGAAGGACCCCCAGCTAGACCCCCTACAGCAGAGGTAGGGAACTCCAGGTCACAAGAGCCAGTGTTCTGCAGGTTTTAGATGTGTCCCTGATCCAACACAGCTGATTTAAATGGCTAAATTACCTCCTCAACATGTCTTGAAGTTCTCCAGCTGCCTGATAATGAACTGATCATTTGATTCAGGTGTGTTGACCCAGGGTGAGCTCTAAAAACCTGCGAGACACCGGCCCTTGATGCCTGGGGTTGCCCATCCCTGCCCTACAGTATCTTTCCCCTCCAATGGTGGATGTAATTCATGAATGATCATGAGAACACAGTAGTTACCCGTCCTCTTGTCGAATGGGGACGAAGCCCTCAGTGTGGATGACGCATTGTCCTGCAGACTGCTGCAGCTTCTGGGTGTCTAGCCTCTCCGAGATGCCCTCCAGCAGACATAGTTCCCCGAAGTTCCCTGCCACCGCCTTCGGTGACCTGAGGCTGCTCCTGCCCTGGTGGCCTTGGGATGCCGTCTGAGACATTTCAATCTCCAGGCTGGTTTTGTTCTCCAGATACATGGTGAGACTGCTGCAGGGGGAAAACAGTGGCTTTATCCTTCTTTAAGATGCTGTGACTTACACAAAAAAGTCAACGATTGCTGTTCACTCACAGACGGTGTATATAAAAGAGCAACTCCTCATGGTGTCTCACAGCACTTCTTTTTGTTTATTGACATATAATGATACAGCATTGATGTTTTTGGAGCAGAGAGTTTTCACTGTTGCCTTCTTAGCTTTTTAAAACCAGGTGTCAAAACCGTGGAGTCTGTCCAACAGTGAAACTGTAAAAAATGCAGTGTCAGTCTTAAGTTAGGCCAATCCTAAGGTATCCCCTGCTTTATGTGCATTTTTAGCTCTAATGGGGCCATAATTTCACAAAATCAACACCATGTTTTATTCAGTAAGGTTTGGAACCTGTGACTGAGACCATAAACGCAGCAAGAAAGAGTTTACTGTGCTCTGGGGATATGAGGGGTGCATACTGGCGACAAATTCTTCTTGCAACCAGAGGAGTCGCCCCCTCCTGGACATTAGAAATAGTGCAGTGAAACAATAAGTGGTGATCCAGGCCCTTCAAGGACTTTGAAAAATGTTTTTAGGGCCTAAAATTGGGATGTGTCCAAACATTATGAAGGCCATGAACACCAACATTGCTCCTCAATTTTAAAGCAATATTAAAGCAGCACAATAACTCGTGCTGAGCAGCCACCGATCCCACGTGTTGATATGCTCCTTTGAATTTTTACCCAGAATGCACTTTCTGAAGGAAACAATGAGCTAAAAGTGCTTAAAGGTTTTAAAGAGTGAAGAGAGAATACACTGGTGTCATCACTGATTTAATGAAGAAGTGGTGATGTGATCCATGCTTTTGTTGTTGAACAGCAGCTATAAAATCCCAGCAGTGATTGTGGTTAAATCTCTAAATTATACTTTGCATTCATGTGACGAAGTATTACATCGCAGCTTTGCAGACCCAGACGGTTACATTTCCATTGCTGAGTTTCCTCTGTGAGTGAAAGAGATCCTCATAACTGCTTCATGCCAGAGTCTGATATTCTCTATGATGGACATTCAGTGGTTTTCATGATAGAACAACACAGCAGACACGGTCTTCATCAGTACAAAGGCTTCATGAGTTTAAGGAGATTATTTCTCACATCAAAGTCTACAGGAAGTCACATGTGACTTTTCCTGCTATAACACCACTTTCAAGGAAAGACTACACCACAGTCCTGCCACCCAAACACTATTTCATACTGATCTGCATTGACCAGTTGCATCATAGAATCAACAAATATTTCTATAACAGAACTAAATATTCATTTAAGTTTGTTTGTTTTTTAGGGGGGAAAGCCAAAGGAGTCTGTGCATCTCTGCGACATTTTTATTATTTTTGATTGTGGGTGTTCTTCTGAACATTCCTTTATTTTACAACTTAGAATGAGGGAAATTGTTACATGAATTTTCACATTCCTGTAACAATTTTCCTCATTCTAAATTTGGACTAGAGAAGTGTAGTCTGACGGTAACAGAGAGGGAAGGTAGTCAGAACAGAGGGGATTGGACTACCAGAAGGCAAACATTCACAAATACATTAGGAAGATAGCCCCAACCGACCACGTGCTCAGTGAATACCTCAGGCAGCAGAAACCCAAGAAAGAGGAGGAAGAGGAAAGACAGGCCCTTGCATGTTATGTACCACCAGCAGATAAGGGAAGTGGCTGACATCCAGAAATCCTACCAGTGGCTGGACAAAGCTGGACTGAAAGAAAGCACAGAGGCAATAATCATGGCAGCACAGGAACAAGCTCTGAGCGCAAGATCCATAGAGAGTGGGGCCTGCCACAACAGGCAGGACCCCAAGTGCAGGCTGTGTAAAGATGCCCCTGAGACAATCCAGCATATAACAGTAGGGTGCAAGATGCTAGCAGGCAGGGCATACATGGAACGCCATAACCAAGTGGCCGCTATAGTATACAGATACATTTGTGCTGAAAATGGCCTGGAAATCCTGAGGTCAAATGGGAGACACCCCCTATGGTGGTCGAGAATGACTGAGCTAAGATCCTGTGGACAAGCAGAGGAAGATGGCCGTAGCAATAGCGAATAACAGCAACATCATGAAGAAGGAACACAAGAAACTTGAGATGTACCAAGGGCTCAGAGAAGAGCTCGAGAAGAAGTGGAGGGTGAAGGTAACAGTGGTCCCAGTGTTAATCGGACCAGTTGGTACAGTGACTCCCAAGCTAGCAGAGTGGCTCCAGCAGATCCCGGGAACAACATCCAAGATCTCTGTCCAGAAGAGTGCAGTCCTAGGAACAGCTAAGATACTGTGCAGGACCCTCATGGCCTCTGGTAGAGGACCCGAGCTTGAAGGGTAATGACTGCCCACAGGGGCGAGAGTGGAATTTTTAATCAGTAATTTGGCCATTCAAGATATTTGGGTTGACTGTTTAAATCGGTTGATAGATTACTAAAATATGAATCAAAACTACAGTGAGTATCAAACCCTGGTATGACTTGAAACTATGTTACCAGCTCTAACCAATAAGATTGCTGGAAAATTCCAAAACATGTGATGGTGGTCAGCTGACCTCCATCACATGTTTACATTGTCTCCAGCAGTGTCCGGATTCAGACCTAACATTTATAGGAATTTTCTTTGTGGAATAATAATGTTTTTTGTTTTTTAAAAAGAAGATAGAAATCCAGCCAGGAAAATTCTTTCTTCCGGGTAGAACCAGAATTACTGCCATTTATTGTACATTTCTTTAACCAGTCTCCATCTGTCGCTGTTATATATATACTTCCCTCCACCCACTTAATACAGACATAAAAGGGAAAAGCTGTCAATGAACACATTCTAGATGCCAGTTTCTCATGGATGCTCCCATCTACACATGAATAAATAATATTCATGATGCTCACATCAGATTTCCAGATTTCCAGATTTGCCTTTTTGTGTTCAGTCATTTGTTTCAGCGTTAAAGTTCAAACTTGGATCACTTATTGTTCGCATGCATTTCCTATGCCTCATATTACATTTGTTCTGCTTGTCCCATGCTTGTGATGTGCCTCAGAGAGGAGAAAGAGACTTCTGTGTGACATCTTGCCTGCAGGCTGCATGTAAAAGCAAACACAAACTGCTTTCTTAAATTCTCCACCCTCGTTCACAGCAATTAGAAATTCAGCAGGACAGGAAGCCGTAACAGCACGGTTCTCTGACTCGGATGTTTGTTACTAGTGGTTTCTTTCAGTTGTAGTATTAGGTAATGTCTAAGCAGTGAAATATAAAAGAGCACGTTTCATCCATTGAGCAGACATCATTTAGAAATCAGTGGAATGACTGAGGGGATTTTTACAAAGCTACAGCACTACTTATAGAGCAGAATTAGGGCATGAGGCTTAAAGCCCTGAAACAAAGGCCAACACTGTAGTGTAACAGAGGCACATCCAGGCTTTAAATTCAAGCTTTTATTTTGTCAGGAAACAGGTGAAAAATGTCAACCTCACCTTGATGAATGAAGACAGAGAACGAGGACGAGGACTAAGACAAACAGGATGATGATGATGAGGAGGAGGATGGCAGTGCTCAGTTGATGCTGATGTTGAGCCAAAGAAAGCGGAACTCATTCAAACTGATAATCCAACAAAAGGTAAAGAGTGATGGTCTCACATCTGCTGGGGCTCGTTCTTTTCGATGTTATTTGAGCACAAAGACGTGATGGAAGGCTAGAGAGGCTGAGGTGTTTCGTGTCCTCTC